ACTCTTTCCAGGCCTGCCAGAATTGCCAGGCTTACGGCCTGGCCTAGGACACCCCTGATGTGTCTGGGCAGGGAGGAGCCTGTAACTTAGGGGCAAAGGGATCAAGGGAAGGTGCCGTGATGTGCTTGAGGCCAAGTGATGCTGCCATTTGAGAGGAGAGGAATTTACCTGCTGGGGCCTGGCACCCTGGGGTGCCCTTAGCATGTGCCCAGGCTGGTGGGCACTTGTCCAGGCTGTGTGGGGAGGTCAGGGCAGTCCCCGGCAGGATGTGGATACTGGGAGTCCTGTTTTTCGCTGGACTCCTTCCCTGCTGGGGCTGGGACTGGGGGTGAAGGGCAGAGGTGGGTGTCTCCATTCTGTAGGCTGTGACTGAGGCACTGCCTCCTCAGGCAGCTCCCTCCTCCGGGGTGGGGCAGATGACGTTTGGCGCATGGAGCTGTGGGTCGCTTAGGCCCTGTGCCTCCCATCTCTGGGGTCTCACATGGAGGATCCCAATGGGGTTGTGGCCCTGTGTCAGAGGCTGGGCTGGGCAGAGGCCGTGGGGTGCCGTTCCCAGCAGGCAGCGCTGGCACACGCTGCCCCTGGAAACACAGGGATGTGGTAGGCATGATTCACAGTGACATCTGGGACCAGTTGGCAAAGAGCTGGGGGAGATGGGCAGGAACAGGTGGGGCTGCTCTTGGGGCCACCTCTAAATTTTTCCTGGGAACATGGAGCCCTGGAAGGTGGCTCAGCCCTCCCTGCCTCTGAGAAGGGCAGGGGTTACTCACAGGAAAGGCTGAGTAGCTTCCTGGGCTTTGGGGTCATGAAGTTTGGGAGTTGAGTTTCGTCTTTGCCACTTACTACTTGTGTGACCTTGAACAAGTTACCCACCTTCTCCGAGCGTCAGTTTTCCTCCTGTGTAAAAAGATAATAAAAATGGTATATGCCAGGGACTTCCCTGGCGGTCCAGTGGTTAACACTCCACACTTCCAACGCAGGGGGCGTAGGTTCCATCCCTGGTTGGGGAATTAAGATCCCGCGGGCCGTGCAGTGCAGCCCCCCAAAAAGAAAAGGGTATATGCCAGCCTGCTAGGATTGTTGAAGGGATTAAATAGAGTTGAGGGGCTTAAATAGAGTGCTTAGCACAATGCCTGACACAGAGCAAGTGCTCAATAAACACTGTCCACTGTGAGGACAGGATGATGTTGAGGCTGATCTGGTCCTCTTCGTCTTGGGGCCCTTCGAGGTGAAGGAGCCCAGACCCTGCCTCTTCCCTCCCCCCACCTCCGTTTCCAAGACCAACCAAGGGTGCCATCTTTAGTCTTCAGCAGTCACAGGTCAGGCTGCCCTCCCTGCCATCACGCACGTCAGCCACAGAGCGGCCTAGATGAAAACTGCCTGGTGGCCGGAAACCACGAGAGGGAGGGCCCACCTCTCCTGGAGGGTGGGGCAGCGGTGGCACTAACGGTAGCTGTGTGCACATGGGGAGGGGTGGGGAGGCCTCCACTTCCCTCAGAGAGAGGGTGTGCTGGTGAGGGGGGTTCCCCAGTAAGAGCTCAGTGTGGGCAACAACAGGAAATGTAGGGTGCTGGGTGGCAGGAAATGGGGCCGGCTGTTCCTGGTTCCTCAGACAGGCGCGGGGGCCAGGCTGTCTGCAGAAGACCCCTCGGAGGCCAGGACCCATGTTTCTCATTGCTCTGAGCGCTCGTTCTTCCGAGGAAACTGAGCCTGCTTACCAGCTTGCCAGCTAGGTCACCTTGGGCAAGCAGCTGAATGGCTCTGTGCCTCAGTTTCCCGTTTGTGAAAAGGGGATTATAATAGTATCTACTTTGTAGGCTTGTTGTTGAGATTTAAATGAGTTAATAGATGTAAAGCCCTTAGCATGGCACCTAGCACGGATTGAATGTTTGGGGGAATATTAATCACTGTTGCTGTCGTTATTCTCCTACGAGCCTGGATTATAAGGGCAGTGCCTGCTGCCCTGACTCCTACCCTGCTTGCCCTTGTTCCTGCCGTGGGGACCCTTCAACCCTGATGGGAGAAGCTGTTAACTTTTTGGGGTTCTTAGCACCCTAGGGCCGGGTTACCCCACACCCTCCTCTAAACCTGGGATTGCTTGTAAGAGCCCTAGAAAAGCTATATACCAGAATTTTTAGAAGAGGATAACGTTGATTGTTTTTGGAGATGCTCTGAGAGCTCTAAAACCAAGCTTGAAGCCATGTAGAGGTGGGCAGGGGAGATGGATGGGGAAGTGGGGCCGGGGGACAGGGCTGGCTTCTGGATCCATCAGGCTGTGGAATGCCTGTGGGGCTGGTCTGAGACGGCCTGGTGCCTAAGTTCAAGGGCTTCCCGGGGCTTGAAGGGCTGGGCTTCCTAGGGAGAGGGTGGGCTGGTGGGCTGGGACGTAGTCTCAGCTCAAACTGAAAGTGAAACTGGAGGGTGTGACTGTGTCCACACGTAGCCAGAGCCCCTTCAGTCTCCAGGGACACCTGCTCACATGTCAGTGTTGGGATGGGGGGCGGCCTGCAAGGGACTGGCCTTGGGTGTGCAGGGCTGGAGGCCCTTCTGACACACAGAGAGGGGGCAGGGAAGGAGGGGAATGATCCCACCCATTCTAATAGGAGGAGCAGGGAAACAGCTCCTTCTCTTGGCCGCACCCTGAGAGGTGAACCCTATCTCCCTCTTCGCAAAGTGTGAAGGGCAGCAGCGGGTGGGAGCTGGAGGCTCAGTTCATTTTTGGCCAAGCCTTGGAGACAGATCCGCTTCTCCGAATGTTTTCACCAACTTCTGTCCGCCACACAGCCCTCACCTTGGGGTCTTCAGTGGACTCCCCTGCCCCCCCCCCCCCAACACCTGTGACATGCCTCTTCATAGTGGTACGTCCCTGAAGAGTATTATTACATCAAAACACAGCTTCTAACCTAGGGGCAGGACAGGAATAAAGATGCAGACACAGAGAATGGACTTGAGCACACAGGGAGGGGGAAGTGTAAGCTGGGACGAAGTGAGAGAGTGGCATGGACATATATACACTACCAAATGTAAAATAGATAGCTAGTGGGAAGCAGCCACCTAGCACTGGGAGATCAGCTCGTTGCTCTGGGACCACCTAGAGGGGTGGGACAGGGAGGGTGGGAGGGAGACACAAGAGGGAGGAGATATGGGGATATATGCATATGTACAGCTGATTCACTTTGTTATATAGCAGAAGCTAACACACCATTGTAAAGCAATTATACTCCAATAAAGATGTTAAAAAAACAAAAACAAACGAACAAAAAAACCCCACACAGCTTCTCACTGAAGGGTTCCCGGGAGCCCTGTGAGTCTGAGGTAGGAGGGAAGTGTGCCCATTTTATGGAGGAGGAAGTTGAGGCTCAAGGAGACAAAGAAGCAGTCAGGCTAGGTGGGCCCAGAGCCTGGGTCCCCTGAATCCCTCTCGGATTCCTCCACATCACAGCCGCCCCCCCCACCCCGTCCCGTCACAGGAGGCGGGTGTTCCCCCCCTTCCCCCAACCCGCCACGCACACCTGGACTTCCCGGTCCTTCCCTGTCCCATCTGAGGGCCATCAGCCAACCTTCTGCTTGTCTCCCAGTCCCCAGTCTCCCAGTCCCCTGCCTCCTTGCTAAGGGCCCCGAGTCTGGGGGTCTGTCACTGTTTCCAGGATGGCCTCACCCCACTCTGAGTGAGTGGCATTGCTGGTCCCTCTCCTGCTTCCTAGGGTACCCATCGCCTCTGTGGGCACAGCCGAGGAACGGCTGCTAATTAGTGCTCAGCGCTGTCAGAGCTATTTCTGATTTCCGAGCCTAAATTTAGCCCGTCTGGCAGGCTGGCATGTAGGCCCGGGGGCCTGAGGAGGCCCAGGTGGGGAAGGGGCAAAGGGGTGCCCTGCTCTCCACCACTGCTGGGATGGGGCACTGGCCCAGCAGAGACCTCCCCCTCCCCAGTAATAACCGCAGGCTGAACTGGGGGAGTGGACCTGGGCGCTTGTTCTGGGTCAGCTCAGGGCTCAAAGTGAACCTGGCTCCCCTCTTACTGGGTTCGTGACCTTGGGCAGGTGACCGAACTAATCTGTGCTGCACCTGTGGGATGGGACTAATAGCAGTGCCAATAATGGTGGTGAGGGTGGAAAGCTGCCATCTGTGAGCAGGGCTGCTAAGCCTTCGGGCAAAGCTGGCACCACAGTTGTTGGAGTCATTATGATGATTAGTTGCTGTCTCTAGAAGTGCCACTGGAGCCATTCCTGGAGCCAGCAAGTCCCCAGGGTGGGTGAGGGCCGAGAAGGACCCACGTCAGGAAGCAGAGATCTCCTCTAAGGCTCAGCTGCCGAGCCCTCCCCCTCACTCCTCTGCGCCCTCCTTCCCCTGCCACCACCTCCTCCTCCGTGCTGGCCACGGGTCCAGTTTCCCTGTTTCCCTGGCATCGCCTGCCTTCTCTCTCTGCTTCCTCCTCCCCCCTCAGCCTTGGCCCCCTCCCCCACCTCGGCCCTGCCCCACCCTGGGTCTCTGTGAGGTGGGGATGGATCTGGAGGGACCAGGGAGAAAGAGAGAGAGACAGAGACAGAGAATGGCCCCAGGGAGGCCTCCCTGGCCAGGTACATCCTTCTCTGGGCTCCAGGGTCCCTTCCTGGGCAGTCCCTCCCGTGGGGCAGGAGCTGTCCTGGTTGTTGGCAGGTTGGGGGAGGGCAGCAGATGAGACCGCAGGCGGTTTCCTCAATCTGGGCTCACTTTCGCAACCGGGGAGAGGAATGACGTATCGCCATGCCCAGCCGGCCCAGGGGAGAGGGCCTGGTGGATGGGCAGTTTCACCTCTCAAGTAGGGCCCCGGCCGGAAAGCTTGGGCAACTGGGGCAGAGGGTACCAAGCTTCCTGTTGTCTGGGGCCGACCTAAGGCAGTGATTTTCGGGGTGAGATCTGGCCAGAGCCCCCGAATTAGGCCTAGCGCCCGGGAGAGGAAGCTGGCCAAGAAGTCTTGGGTGGGTGTGGCCCCTTCTCTGCTCCAGCTGTGGCCTCCTCTCAGGGCCATGTGACTGAGGATGTGTAGTCTGAGCCACCAGAGCTGGTGACAGGGGCCTCTTCTACCCTGGGTTGGGGCTCCCTGGGGCTCCCACGTCCCCAGTACAGACTAAGCTCCTTGAGGGCCAGAACTGTCTTTTGGAGCCTGACATATAGTAGACCCTCAATAAACCTGGGGTTTACTGAATCGGGGTGAACGGGCATCATCTGCTGGTTCTTTTAGGGAGACACGCCAAGTCCTGGGGGTCCAGGGAGCTCCTAGTGCTGGTGGCACCTGGTGATTCCATAGCACCAGGTGGGACACTAAGCCTGTCCTGTGAGGAGAAGTTTGGCAGGCACATTGTACCCTTGTCATCTGTGGCTGGGGAAGGAGGACCCAGGCAGAGCAGTGCTGACCTTTCTTAGCTCTTGAGGGGAGTCCCAGCCTGGGCCACCAGCACCACAGACCCAGCGTGCTGGCTGCTCTCCCTGGTTCCTGTAACTGGGTGACCTTCCCCTGGAATCCACCTGGGCCCTGCAGCCACCATGCACCTGCTTGGAACTCCCTGCCCATCTGACCTCATCTCCCTCGGTCTGTCCCGAAGTGACCAAGTGGGAGGGGGCTGGCGAGGGATGGGGGCTGCTGGCTGCTGTCCTTGCAGAGGCTTTGTGGTGTTTGTGAGACACTGGTGCCCTGGGCTGGGACCACATACACGTGTTGTTTGGTGGCATGTGGGAACGGGGCACAGTCCACGCCTGGCCACACTTGGGCCTGGCCAGAGATGGGTCCCTGTTAGCTTCCCATGCAGATGGGAGAAGAGATGGTACCCCCTTATCACACGTGGGGAAACGAGCCCAGAGGTGCCTGAGGTTCGCAGGAAGTTAGGCTGCGAACCCATGCTCCTGCCTCCGTGCCAGTTGTGCCGGGGGGGCGATTTAGGGGTGACAGATCCCAGGCCCTGGAGTCAGGCAGACTCGGATTCAAACCCCAGTGTCACTTTCTAGCTGTTGGGCCTTCGGAAAGGTGCCTCATCTCTGGGCCTCGGTGTTCTCGTTGGCTAATGCTACTTATTTCCGGGGGTGAGGTGGTGACGGGACTCATGTGAATGACAGGCCTACTAGGGAGTTGGCCCTGACAATGCCCATGCTCCACTCCCCCTCAGGTTAGGGCCCCAGACTCAGCACCTTTATCTTGTCGTCTTCCTCCCCAGAACTGCATGAACTTGCCCCCGGACAAGGTCCAGCTGCTGAGCCAGTATGACAACGAGAAGAAGTGGGAGCTCATCTGTGACCAGGTGGGCGCAGGCCCATTCCGTCATCGGGGTGCCCTGTCCTGGCCAGGCTGGGGCTGGGCTGGCAGGAGAGGGGACACTGCCACGCTGCCACAGGGCCAAGACCCTGCCCAGAGGCCAGCGTAACATCTGGGGAGGGTGCTGAGGGCATATGCAGAACTCTGGAATCCCCCTGTGTTGGGCCTGGGCCTCCCCAGGGACCTTATGGGTCATGAGCAGGGCTGGGTCTGCCCTCTGAAGAGCTGGCAGGGGCTGGTCCAGGGTACTGGCCAGGGCAGCTAGGGCTGTGTCCCCATCCTCCTTGCTGAGCTTCTCGGGGCAGCCTCTGTCCACCCTCCAGCTCTGGGCTGGGGAAGAGAGGGGGCAGCCCTAGGGCTGGACATCTTCACTCCACCCCATGGGAGGTGGGGAGGAGGGTCAGGAATTCCTGTCCTCCTTTGGCCTTGGATCCAGAGGAGCTGCAGTCAACCAAGCAGTTCCCCAAGTCAGCCAGCTCCCGAGTGGCAGAACAGGGACTGGTCACCACCTGGAATTGCCATCTTCGTGGCTCTCTTGGCTGCCCCAGCCCCTTCAGCTGTGGGGCTGCTGTCTGAGGTAGCAGGGAGGATGCCTGCTGTGGCAGGGAGGGGCCTGGCTGCCACAGTGATTCAGAGAGGGAGGGAGGTGGGCCTGTGGCCCTGGAGGCTGGGGGTGGGGATTTGGGGAGCAGGGAGCCTCTCCTGGGAGCCAGGGCTGGGCCTTCGGCTTCTGCTAGTGGACCAGGATGGGATGAGCTGGCAGGGCAGGAGTCTGGGGGGTGGGGGCAGGGCTATGGGGAGAGGGTGGGGAGCTGCCTCCGGAGGCTTTGGGGCTGGGGTAGGGGTCCCTGCCCCTTGGCCTGGAGTCTCAGGTTGAGCTCACAAAGGCCTGGGAGAAGTGGGAGGTTGAGGGGGGTGGCTGGGCATATCTGAGGGGTCTGGACTGGGAAGGGTGGGAGCTCATTTGGGTGGAGGGCCTCTAGTGGGGCCCCTGCCTCTTGTGTGGGTGGAGCGCTGCCTCCGGAGGCTTGGGGGCTGGGGTAGGGGTCCCTGCCCCTTGGCCTGGAGTCTCAGGTTGAGCTCACAAAGGCCTGGGAGAAGTGGGAGGTTGAGGGGGGTGGCTGGGCATATCTGAGGGGTCTGGACTGGGAAGGGTGGGAGCTCATTTGGGTGGAGGGCCTCTAGTGGGGCCCCTGCCTCTTGTGTGAGTGGCTCCTGGAGCCCTGGATGGGGTGGGGGAGTTAAGGATTGTTTTGTTGAGCACAGGTCACGTGCTTGCGTGTGCGCACTCACACGCCCAGGTGAACACTACGACTGGGGCGGAACCCTGCGGGAGGGGCCCCCATCCTGCTAGGAGCTGGGCGCTTCATAAGGCCCTTCCAGGGTGTTCCCTCTCCTGGTACTCCCACTTCTGGGCTGGGATGTGGCCCAGGGAGGGCACAGGGCTGGGAGGGTGCCACTCACTGGCCTGCCTGAGTCTCCCCCTCCAGGGTGGGGTGTATAGTAGGACTGACCCCTCCACACTCCATCCAGGCTGTTCTAGGCCTGTAGCCATAGACCAAGGGAAGGCCTGGCCGGGGACTGGGGTCTTTTCAAGTGGCAGGCGGAATGTTTGGGTTTATGCCTTTGGTATTCAGGGGGGTCTTAAGGCAGCCTGGGACCTTGGGTCAGAGCTGACGAAGGGACTCTGGGACAAGGGCTGGCCATTTGCCCCGGGGTGGCCCTGGCTGGTCCCTTGTACATCCTATTCCATCTCCACAGGAGCGTTTTCAAGTCAAGAACCCTCCTGAAGCCTATATCCAGAAGCTGAAGAGCTACCTGGAAATCGGTGGGGTCAGCCGAAAGGTAGCATCAGATTGGATGTCCAACTTAGGGGTATATGTCTCCCCCTTTTTCTCTGTCCCTTTCCCCCTGCACTTTCCAAGCTCTGGGCAGCTGGAGTAACTGTGTGTATAGACTTTTCTGCAGGCTTCTGCGGGTCCATGGACGAGTGTGTGTGGGTATTCACAGGGGACTGAGAGTGCCCCGGGCGTGCACTTTCACAGGTTCCTCTGCAGCTCCTATTTGTACTCAGATGTGTACACTTGTGTGTACTTGTGTAGTGTGTGTGCATGTGTGCACACTGTGTGCCCAGGCATGGATGTGCGTGTGTGTACGTCCTTTTGTGTCCACATATGGATGTATGTGTATCCTTGAGTCTTTGTATAGGGGTGTGTGTGTGTGTGTGTGTACCCCATGTGTCTGTGTGTGGATATGTGAGTGTCTTATGTCTGTGTACTCACTGTACTTGTGTATGGATATGCACGTGTGTGTGTACCCAGGGTGTTCATGTTTGAATGTGTGTGTACCCTTTGTCCTCATATATGGGTGTGTGTGTGCGCGTGCACGCGCGTTATATGTCTGTGTCTAGAGACGTGTGTGCCTCTTTCGTGTCTGTGCGTGGCCGTGGTGTGCACCCTGTGTGTCTGTATAGGGGGGCGTAGGTGTGGCCTGAGTATGCTTATTCTGCTGGGCAGGTGTGTGGAGGTGGTCTAGACAGCCGAGTGTGAAAGGCCAGCTGTCGGGGTGGGCAGGCACTGTGGGCTGAGGCCTGCGCTCCACCCACCAGACTCCCCTGTTCTTGGCTCCCAGTTTAAGAGGAGAGTCCAGGAGTCCACCCAGGTGCTAAGGGAGTTGGAGACCTCCCTAAGGACCAACCACATTGGGTGAGCAAGGGCTCAGATTTCCCTGGGGAGGTCGGGGGAGGGGGAGAGCTCTGGCAGCAGGCAGCCCCTGGGTTCCCCTTGTTATCCCCCCATCCTCCCCAGAGGCTGTGCCTATGGGCCCCCTCCAGGCTGGGTGTCCTCTCTTGCCCACGCTCTGCCTACCCTTGAGGCATGGCTGGGCCGTGGGTCCTGCCCGAGGCCTCTACCATCATTGCCTGGCGTCACTGGGTCTTGCGAGGCTGTTGTCTTCCTGGGAAAGGGCAGCCCAGGGGCCCTTGCTGTGCCCGTTCTGTGCCAACACTGGGCAGGACCTCCTTCCTGGGCGGCACTCAGGGAGCCCTGTGCCCTGCAGGTGGGTGCAGGAGTTCCTCAACGAGGAGAACCGTGGCCTGGATGTGCTGCTCGAGTACCTGGCCTTCGTGCAGTGCTCTGTCACGTAAGCCTGGCCCTGCCCTGGTGCCCACCCCCAGAGTCCGTGCCTTCCTGCGCCTCGTCCACTCCTCGGGCCGCTTCCAGGCAACTTAGCCTGGGTCCACCCTGGAGCCCTGCAGTTGGCTTGAGCAAGGCCCCTTCCTGATGGCCTGCCGTGGACGGGGAGGGAGGTGGCCTGCGGTGGCCAGCTGGGACCTGCTAGGCCCAGCACAGCGCCAAGAACACAGCCTCCTCCGCCCGCCCCCAGTCTCTACTGAAGATCTGTCTCTCCCTGGGTTCCCCCCACCCCCTCTGAAGTGCCCTGCAGTGTTGGCCTCCATCCCCAGTCTAACCCCCCGCAGGTACTACATGGAGAGCACAGACAATGGGGCCCCGGGCTCCGAGAAGAGCAAGCCGCTGGAGCAGTCGGTGGAAGATCTCAGCAAGGGCCCGCCCTCATCCTTGCTGCCACAGCCCAAGAGCCGCCACCTGACCATCAAGTATGTGGGCCCCCTGGCGGGGTGGCAGGTGGTGGGGTGAATGGAGAATTCACCCCTGGATGGCTGTACCCAGCCTGCTCCACCAGGCCCTGGGGGTGGTGAGAGGGGTAGCCTGGCATCGGGGATCCAAGTAAGGGCCTCACCCAGGGCTCGGGAGATGTGTGTGTTAAGAAGCCTCTGGGGTGCACCTAGAGGCTGGAACCTCAGTGGGGTCTGAGATAAGGGGGGAGTTTCAGGGTCGGTGGGACCCCTTTTGTATCATCTAATCCCCTGTTTTCTCCCATGCGGACTCCAGATGCCCCCCTTCTCCCCGGTACGTAGCCACCTAGGGGCAGGTGCATGCCTGGTCAGCTTCCAGGGTGGTGGTGGGGTTGGGTGAGGTGTTCAACTCAGGTGACACCCCTGGATTCAGTTGCTTCGGATACTTCAGCCCACCCTAACTTATGACATCCTGCTGGGAGGTGGGGAGAGGGAAGGAGATGGCCCTGGAGCCTCATGTGGACCCCAGGTGCCTTCCTTCCCACTCTGGGTCTAGGAAACCAACTTCATCTTCAGCTCCAAACTCTCACAATATATTCCTTTGTTCATTCATTCATGCATTCAACAAACATTTTTTTTTTAGCATTTACTATGTACCAGGCATGGTGGTAGATTCTCAGGTGACAGATTACCCTGCCCTTGGGAGCCTTCCATCTAGTAGGAGACAGTGTGTGACAGGTTGTCATGGAAGTATGACTGGGAACTCTGAGCAGGGAGGTGGCCACTGCCTGGGGCATCAGGAAGGCTTCCCAGAAGAGATGACACTGGAACTGTGTCTTGCAGATGGATACAGGCTTTAGAAGCAGTGGTGGGAACAGGGAAGGGCATTCCACGCAGAAGGAACAGCACAAGCAAAGACTCAGAGGCACGTTTGAGCAATGACGGGAAAAGGGAGATGTGGCAGGAAGAGCGAGGAGTGGGGCCTTCCAGTATTGACTGGCGGTTCTGCGACAATGGAAAAAATCATGTTTCTTTTAGCAAAAAATCAGCAAAACCATTCATAGAGCACCTACTATGTGCCAGGCGTTGTTCTAAGCTCATTTCATAGTCCCAACAACCCTATCAGGAAGGTACTGTTATTACCATTCCGATTTTACAAAAGAGGAAACAGGCCCGGGAAGATTAAGTAACATGCATGCCTAGTAATCAGTGAGCTGGGATTTGACCCATGGCAGTCTGAATTGTCAAGATGCAAGGTAAACTCACGTGGCTGTGAGCGCCACCTTGTGGAGAGTATTTTCATGGCCGTTCACAAGCTTTGGCAGTCTTTTCCCTCTATAAGCTCTCCATCCCCACAACACAGCAACTTTTTTTTGTTGTTGTTGCCGTACTCGGGCTCCGGATGCGCAGGCTCAGCGGCCATGGCCCACGGGCCCAGCCGCTCCGGGGCATGTGGGATCCTCCTGGACCTGGGCACGAACCCGTGTCCCCTGCATCGGCAGGTGGACTCTCAACCACTGCGCCACAAGGGAAGCCCCAGCAACTCTTTTTATTACCAAGTCGCTGTTAGGGGGGTCTTTGCTTCCCTGACCCCCGCCTCTTCACCTTCCCCCCGGAAATGTCAGGCCCCAGGCCTAAGAACTGAGGAAGACTTCCGGCCCTCAGCTGGCCTCTTTGGTTGGGTGGACGGGAAGCAGACATTTCCAGATGTGCCCCCTCTTACTCCAGTGGCCATCTGAGTGGTGGGGGGAATAGGAAGCTGGGTTTGGGACTCTGACCCCTGCTGCCTCCTCCCCACCTGCCCAGGCTGACCCCGGCCCATAGCAGGAAGGCCCTGAGGAATTCCCGCATCATCAGTCAGAAGGATGACGTCCACATCTGCATCATGTGTCTGCGTGCCATCATGAACTACCAGGTTGGTCAATGGGCCTGGGGCATTGACACTGACTGTCCTCCCTGGGGGCTGCCTAAGCTGCTGAGGTTCTGGGACCAACTGTCCCCCACCCTGTCCCCACTGGAGAACCCTGGGGATCTGGGCTGTTAGTTCAGGGTCTTGAGGCTGATGAGTCTTGAGGGGAAGCCCAGATTTCTGCACCTTCCTGGTCAGGTCCCTTAGAATACCCTGGACATGGCTGGGGGCATGGATATGCCTCACGTGGGGACTTAGGCACCCCACTAAGAAAGGCTGCACACCAGGGAGAGCAGCCTCTGGGTTATTTCATTTGGAGGGGTGATTGGTGAAGCTGGTCCTCCCTCACTCAGCTGGCCTTAAAAGACTCACTTTGTCCAAGGTACTGAGTCTTGACACTGGCTTTTGAGCAAAGGCATTTATTTATTTATTATTTTTAAAATTAATTAATTAATTAATTATTGGCTGTGTTGGGTCTTTGTTGCTGCGTGCGGGCTTTCTCTAGTTGTGGCGAGTGGGGCTACTCTTCGTCGCAGTGCGTGGGCTTCTCACTGCGGTGGTTTTTCTTGCTGCGGAGCACGGGCTCTAGGCGTGAGGGCTTCAGTAGTTGTGGCGCACAGGCTCAGTAGTTGTGGCTCGTGGGCTCTAGAGCTCAGGCTCAGTAGTTGTGGCGCACGGGCTTAGTTGCTCCGCGGCATGTGGGATCTTCCCGGACCAAGGATCACACCCGTGTCCCCTGCATTGGCAGGCAGATTCTTAACCACTGCGCGACCAGGGAAGTCCCAGACAAAGGTATTTAAAAAGAGGGACCAGGCTTTGGCTGCCACCCAAGAGGTCGTGGTTGGATATAAAGAACTTCCTGGGAATTCCCTGGTGGTCCAGTGGTTAGGAATCCACGCTCTCACTGCCGGGGCCCTGGGTTCATGTAGCCAAAAAAAAAAAAGAACCCTGGGGGGTCTGCCTGGAGGAGCTGACCTCTCCTTTCTCCCCAGTCTGGCTTCAGCCTCGTCATGAACCACCCAGCCTGTGTCAATGAGATTGCTCTGAGCCTCAAGAACAAGAACCCTAGGTGATTTCCAGGCCCCTAACCTTTCTCCGCGTCTAGTTTCTCCTCGTACTTCACCCCTTGCCTACTCTGTCCCCTCAGTTCTCAGGACCGCTACCCAGGCTCATCCCCACCCCATCAGCTCCCCTGTCCTCCCCCGTAGCCAGGCCCACGTCCACCTTTGCTGCGGGGCCTGCCTGTTCGCAAGGGACAGCCTGCCCCTTCTCTCCCCAGAACCAAGGCTCTGGTGCTGGAGCTGCTGGCGGCGGTGTGCCTGGTTCGGGGAGGACACGATATCATCCTTTCGGCCTTTGACAACTTCAAGGAGGTAACGGAGCCCCCACCCAAACATGTACTTGCCCTCTAGTGTTGCTTGGAGCCCTGTTGCTGGCAATTGTGGCTTTTTCTGGGGACAGCTAGGGGCGCTGGGTGGGTATTTGGGGAGTTTCCTCATCTGAAGGGAAGGTACAGGGTCACGAAGGGGCACTGCCTGGGGCGACAGGGACACCTATGGGGATCTGCT